CTTCAAAAGCTTGTAGGTGGTAAGGAAAGAGAAGAATACTAGCACAAAGCTAATACAGAGCATATATCCTGAGCGGAAATGCCCAAAGAGACATAGGAAAACTGCTCATATAAACAGCTCTCTTCAGTCTCAAGGAAATGACAGAGAACGGGATGAATCTAGAAATGTAAACAGAGACAGCAGTAAAAATAGGGCGATGAGAAGCAGGCAGACAGACCTCGGGATAGAGAAGGAGCAGAAGAGTAAGACAGGGCTTAGCCGGGAAGAAACAGCGAGGGGAAGGAACCACAGAACTCAATGATTAAGCATGTCTGCACACACAGATGTGGTTTCTTTTGGAAAGTTCATGAAGGGACATTTAAGTGAACACAATAGGGCAGCTCAGCTGGTTAACCAACTGCCTTTGGCTCAGGTCATGATCCTGGAGCTCCAGGATGGAGTCCCGCATTGCACTTCCTGCTTGGCAGGGAGTCTGCTTCTCCCTGGGACTTTCCCACTCTTATGCTCTCTCTCTCTCTCTCTCATTCTCTTCCTCTCAAATAAATAAATAAAATCTTTAAGTGAGCACAATATAAAAAATGTGGAGAGGCAGAAAACTAGGTACAGGAGACGAGGAGGTGATTCCACAAATGCACACTGGCTGTTCTCTTGGAGAAGAGAGAAGCCAAAGTAAACAATTGAATTACAAACTAACCAGAAATAAGGAGATGTTTCAGGCTGTAACTGAGAGCCCACAGGGTGACCCAGGAAAGGACTATACAAATGATCCACACCTGGAATATTATAAAGTTACAGAGGATAAAGACAGAATCTATGGGCTGGTATCAGCAATGGTGATCGAATTAGAAGATCATACCAGAAAGAGCTCGTTGTGTGTGACACAAATAGGCTAGCCTCAGACGTGATAACCGTACCCCTTTCCAGAAACAGTGAAGGAAAATTTACATGCTCTGAGCAAATGAGAGAATATCCTGGGAATATTCTGACGACAGACAGTCTCGTGCATCAAGGCCTTATGAAACACAGCACCCGTGAGCCCTTTAAAAATAGAAAATTTATATCATGATAAAATTTTGCCAACAAAGGGGTAAGTTAAATGTAAAAAAAAGAGAAACTGTGGTCAGCGATGAATGTATTTAAAAAGAGAAAACCCCTAAGCAATGGCAGGAAGTATTACAGAAGAGAGTATAAATATCATAGGTGCAAAGAACACTGTGCTAGCAAAACCAGCACTGGGAAGAGGAGGGTGGACAAAGGGTGAGATGCAAAAGTCTTCATCTTTTTAAGGCATGGAATCAATAGATAATTTAAATGTGTCGAGTTTCCATCTACTACCATCTCTGGGACCCGACCTTCACAATACCATGGAGAACCACTCTGAGGATAATGCAGGCAGTGGATATTTGAGATTAAAATGAGACCTCTCCTACTGTGAAAGCGACTGTTGATTTCCCCTGGCAAGTTCCTCCTTTGTGCCATCACCAGGGCTCATCTCTCTTGAAGGCACATTGTGCATCAGGTTTAAAATTGGTTTCTGGAAAGGTGAACCCTCTTGCACTGTTGGTGGGAATGCAAGCTGGTGCAGCCACTCTGGAAAACAGTATGGAGGTTCCTCAAAAAGTTGAAAATAGAGCTATTCTATGACCCAGCAATAGCACTATTGGGTACCTACCCCACCGATACAAATGTAGGCATCCAAAGGGACTGCACCCCAATGTGCAATAGCCAAACTATGGAAAGAGCCCAGATGTCCATCAAGAGATCAATGGATAAAGAAGATGTGGTGTATATATGTATATACAATGGGATACTACTCAGCCATCAAAAAATGAAATCTTGCCGTTTGCAATGACATAGATGGAACTAGAGGGTTTTATGCTAAGCTAAATAAGTAAATCAGAGAAAGACAATTACCATGTGATCTCACTCATATGTGGAATTTAAGAAACAAAATAGGGTATCATAGGGGAAGAGAGGGAAAAATAAAACAAGATGAAATCAGAGAGCTAGACAAATCATAAGAGACTCTTTTTTTAAAATTAATTTTTATATTTATTTTCAGTGTAACAGTATTCATTGTTTTTGCACCACACCCAGTGCTCCATGCAATCCGTGCCCTCTCCAATACCCACCACCTGGTTCCCCCAACCTCCCACCCCCCGCCCCTTCAAACCCCTCAGATTGTTTTTCAGAGTCCATAGTCTCTCATGGTTCACCTCCCCTTCCAATTTCCCTCAACTCCCTTCTCCTCTCTAACTCCCCTGGTTTCACTTATTTGTGGAGCATAACAAATAGCATGGAGGACAAGGGGAGTCATATGAGACTCTTAATTTTAGGAAACAAGCTGAGGGTTGCTGAAGGGGGTGGGGTGGGAGGATGGGGTAACTGGGTGATAGACATTAAGGAGAGAATGTGATATAATGAGCACTGTGTATTATACAAGACTCATGAATCACTGGCCTTTACCTCTAAAACTCATAATACACTATATATTAATTAATCCATTTAAATTAATAAATTTTAAAAATAGAAAATGTAACTCTAAGGGAAATTTAAAAAGTTATAATTATAATTCAGTTGCCGTTTTAGGTTTAATATACACTTTGTTATGACTTCTATTATATAATATTATGTTCATTAGCTGTGCATTAATATCTCGTAAAACAATCTAAGAGGTTGTTAACACACACAAAAAATTTAAAAAATAAATTTTGTTCCTGTCCTATTGCCATGTCCTTTGCATACGGCCAAGTGTCTTAGCTGTGGCTGAGGAAATGAACCTGGGTTGGCAAAGTAGACCCTGCAACCTCTTCCTGCCTTGACCTGAGACCTAGAGGAAGCCATGATGCCAGCATGCCATGGAGTGAACTTCCAGCTAAGCTAATAGAAACCTCTGGTTGTAGGTTTGCAATTCCTTCCACCTGACCCTATGAGGGGATTATGCTACTTTGTCCTGTTGACATCAGGGTTGGCCAATGAACCAAGAGCCCAAGAGACATGCGCCCCTTCGAGCTGAAGCTCTGGGAGCTGCTGTGTGGTTTCCCTCTCCCTGTTGCAGACAGGGGCTGCTTCTTTAGGGTGGGTTCCTAAGTGAAGGTGGCCCACTGTAGACATGTAACATGAGTGAGAGAGCAACCTGTGTGATTCCAACATTCTGAGGGTTGGGAGTTTTGTTATAGCAGCATCACTTAGAAAAAGCTGACTGATACAGCCATGGGCTCAACAGCCCTACATTTGCTCAGAATGTGGATGGTGAGAGTGCCTTTCTGGGAAAGTCTGTGGATATGAATTATCCCCTTCACAGACTCAGACACTGCATTCCAAGGAAGGAAAGTTAAGCTCCCTGCACCTGCCTTGCCTCAACGGGGCTCCTCCCAGGAGACTAAGGAGCAGGTGACCTTTTCCTTGTTTCCAGGGCCATGAGCAGCTCTTGGGGGCTCTGCTCTTACAGGGCTGGTGGTATAAGATGGGTAGTGGAGGCAGAGTGGCCTCTTACTGGCAGACAACAGTCACAGAAAGGACAGATATGTCCCTAAGAAGCCTGCCTGAGCTGTCTGGGCCTATTGCAGATGGAAACATCTTTGGGGCTCAAAAAGGGACACACACCCATGTACACACACCCTCACCTACTGCCAGCTGCATCCAGATGGGGCGAGCTGAGGAGGAGGAGTTTGAATCCTGCCCTGAGAGCAATCATGTGACTTGCTTAAGATCCCCCAGCTAATAAATAGCAAGATGGAAATTTCTGGGCACGTCACAGATCACATCGGGGAATGATTTTCCTTCAAGGTCATGTTGAAAAGAAAATAATAATTTTCAGGCAAAATGTCACAAAGACTAGTGAAATAAGGGTTAAAAAAGATGAATATGAATCTTTGTACCTTTTCAGGTACCCAATGCCTAAGGGTCAACGAGGGAGTGATGGAACCCAAGTAAATGGAAGCTAATGAAATGGAGAATCCTTCAGCTTCTGGCAAACTTCCTCCTCTCTAGCTCTGTCAGTTCTGTGTCATTGCTGAACACATGGTGCTGGAAATGACTTTCCACCATGAAGGGGGAGGTGCATACACACACACACACACACACACACACACACACACACACACACCCGTGCACACGCACACAAAACATCAGAATATATGAGGTCTACCAGAACAGCAAAAGCAAGCAGGCAAGTTATTTACTGAAACATCCAGCTAAGAATGTTTGGCAATAGGATCCTAGAATTTTAGACTTTTCTATTTATGTGAATCTGGGTTCTTGGTTAAGACATCCCACATTTGCACCTACCTCTTATAAGTACCCCCTGGCTGTTTCATGTCATTGGGCACATTTCTGGCTAAGTGCACCTGAGTTACCATTCGATATACTGAAACTCTTGTAGCCATGAGAATCTTGGGACTCATTTAACCACACAGAGTAAAGGTGAGGCTTGAGGATGGCTTAGTGCCAGAGTGCTGGGCCCTGGTCAAGAGCACGTGACCAAGACAGGAAACCATTCAAGGCCTCTGGGGGAAGGCCAGACTGAAGGCTGGGAGCTGAGAAGAGCAAAGCATACCCCTACAGGGGACCCAGCCTCACAATCTGCTCCAGCAAGAGTGAGAGACAGGTCCGGCCCATGGAGGTACACCTTTGCAGGCGTACCAGGCCCCTACTTGGAAGGGCTTGAGTTAATACTCCTCTGTTGCTATCTTGATATTATTGGTAAATGGGACAAAGGCATTTTCATTTAGCACTGGGCCCTGCAAATAGAGGGTCTTTTCCAGAGAAGTCTTGGTCATGCCTTTTCTTCTCAGGACTGCTCATGCCAGCCACACCAGCCACAGGACATTTACTATTCATAGATGGGGGTTGGGGAGGGGTGGAAGCTGGCTCAGAAAATCTAGATAGAAGTCAATGTGACAGCCTGGCCAAAAGGCTCGAGGGTGTGTCAACTGCGGGTGAAGTTAGGGTAAGGGCGTCATCCTCAGAGGGAACAGAAACAAGAACTGTGCATTCAAATGTGTTTCTGAGGATGAAATTCAGCAGGCCATCAGCTGACTTCCCAATGCCCTGAGCTCCTCGCTTCCTCCATATTCTGAGCAGCTCTGAGAAAAGAACTAAGAGGCTAAAGAAGGAAGCAGAGAAATGCCAAGAAAAGCAGAAGAGGGAGATGGGGTGAGTGGGCCCCAGATGAGGAGGCTCCAGCTGCAGCTGGAGACACATCAGTGGGACAAGACTATGAGGCTGCCATTAGCTCTTCTCTTCCTCTGTGTCCCAGGTGAGCGGGGCCGGTCAGGTTGGGGTGACAATGGTGTGGGGCAAGGCTGGCGATGGGGAAGGGAAGAGATGAGGAGACAAGCAAAACGGGGAGGAGGTGAGCATGGAGAAACCTCACCCAGGCAAAGAGGAGGAGTTATGGTTGGTAAGATGATTCCCACAGGAGAGCGCATACTGAGCGCTAAAGAAATTGGCCCCTTGAATCATCATTGCCACCATTTTGAAAAATGGGAATACTGTCTTAGGCACCATCCCAGGGGAGGGGAGCAGAAAACTAATAGGAATTGACTAATCCTGTACTACCTGGCTTTCTCTGTAATCGAATACAATTCTTATCACAATCCTTGAAAACAAGAGACCAAGATGCAGAGAGATGCAAGTTATTTACTCTAGATCCATTCATAAAAGGCAGCTAAGGTTCCAAGTAAAATAATTTTATTTCCAAGGTCATTGCTCTTCTTATAATACTTCTTTCCAAGGTCATCACCTTTAAAAAAAAAAACACAAAACATTGGTTACTTACTACATAAGCCTCCTTGTGAATGGTGTTTATGTATGCTGTGTGCTGATGGGGTCCCTGTGTCTCTGACAGGACTGGGCTGGCCTCAGGGATCTTGCACTATGAGCTGCCTGAAGGTGAAACTCTTGGGGACTTGTGGGCAGTCCTACCTTGGGAGCTCCCACAACGTGGTGGGTTCTGAGAGTTCCCATGAACACAATTTTCTCTCTTTTTTGTGTTTGAACACTGGAAGGAAAATATTTTATTATAAATGGGAGAAAAAAATCAAGACAACTCACCAGTTTGCTCTGATCCCATGCAAACACAAATGTAGGAATTAGAATACAAAGTAATCCAACGTCAGAGCCAACCTTCAGAATAGTAGGAAAAAAATCTTTATTACATTAATCCCATTTCCCTCCACCTCTAGCGGTATTAATCAAGGTGTACTAAGACCCTTAAGAATATTATTCCTAAAAGAGGACACTAAAATTAAGAACATAAAGATACTCTGCATGATAAAACTGACTGAACAAACACATCTTAGACTTTTAAACCTTGACCAACGCTTAAATAATAATGCCTTAGTGAAGTGATTAAATTAAAAACCTACATTAAAAAAATAAAGCACATTTAAAACACCAAGTTTGGTGATCAGGATAGGTAAAGTAATTTTATTATAAATTTGAGGATCTAAAAAGTAATTTCTTACATTTACTAAGACAAATCTGAGATGGCCCACATCAAGCACGTTTGTCCTACGAAGTGACACTGGGCATCTCAGGCATGGAAAGACACAACCCCATAGCCCTTTAGGGATAGGATCATCCAGATGAAAAAAAAAATTAAACTGACTCTCGACTAGGTCATACCGATGAGGATACTTTTGGCTTATCGCTTTGACATGGGGATGGTGAAGAGTTCAGGGAAGAATCACATTCTTGAAGGTAACCTCCAGCAGTGCAAGCTTCTCTTTTCCTACTTTTCTTCTCGATGATATGTAGGAGACTTTCTGTAATTAATGAGAGTTATGATTCAATTGGTCTTTAAGCCTGAGTCTGAAAATGCACAGGATCTGGTTGCCCAGTAGGATGATGGATGGCAAAAGGAAAACAGACGAGTCCGGGTTCTAGACCGTGACCTTCCAGCAACAGAGATGCTGTGGGCAAGTCACTACAGCCCAGCAGGGAGGCCATACACACAAGAGCCAGAAGAGACCTCAAGCTAAGCCAGCCTCCTGCTTCTCAAGGAGATAAACCTCTCTGTCTAGCCAATATTTGCCCTTACACTCATAGGCAGAGAACCTGAGGTCTTTTACAAGTCAGAGCTGTAGGAAGCATTAGGGGTTTAATGGGTATAGAACAACCACCGTCTGTGGGATCCTGGAAAGAACTCAGAGCGGGAGAAGACTGAGCAGCACCTGAGAGACAGCTGAGACACAGGGGAGAGCACCCTCACGCTCCACGACTGACAGGTAATAAGCAGGAGACACCACAAAGGAACAGCTGCAAAATACAGCATACTCACCAGGACAGAGGACATGCCAAGGACAGGAGCCCACAGTCTGCCCTCTTGCCTGGGAATTTCTATCCCAGGTTCTCCTAGATAAACCTTCTTCTTCTAAAGCGGTGGCTCTTAGCAGGGATGACTTACTCCCAGGGGACATTAGGCAATGCCAGTTGACAATTTTGGCTCTTGCCACTGGGGGAAGGGGGTTACTGGTATTTAGTGTGGAGGGGCCAAGGGTTTTGTTGAATGTCCTATAGTGCACTTGGGAGCTGGGAGTTTCTTTCCTAGTCCCTGGTGGGCAGGAAGCCTGCTGTGGGGGTAGAGGAGTGGAGTGTGGGTGAGGGGGACACCGTGCTGGTTCAGGGTCATGTCTGGGTGTAACAGAGCATCCCTGATAACGTTTTCTCTTCCAGCCCCGAGGAAACAGCCCCACATCTTCAAGGCTGGGACTTAAGCAACTGAAAGAGGAGGCAAAGTGGGAAGCTTGCTCTGAAGGGTCCAGTCACCCCACCCAGGCACTCCTATAGCCTGAGCCCCTGTTGGCAACAACCACAGAGAAGGTTGAGTGTTGATGCCCCCACTCCCCCAGCCCTAAGCCTGTGTCTGGAGGACCTCAAGCTGGGGCATTTTGTCCTCTTGAGCACAGTTCCTCAACCTCCCAACTGCTGACAATGGGACTGGATCATTCTGTGTTGAGGGGCTGTCTCGTGCCCTGTGGGATGTTTAGCAGCATCTCTGGCCTCTACTCCCTGGATGCCAGTAGCCACTCCCCACCCCTCAAGCTGTGACAACCAAAAATGTCTTCAAACATTGTCAAATGTCTCCCGGGGGAGCACTGTCACCCCTGGTTGAGAGCCACTGCTTTGCAGATTATTGGTGGGAGAGGCAGATAGCCTTGTGATGGAGAATATCTGCCAGTGATTCACTTGAACTTACTTGCTGGGAAATGCAGTGAGAAAATGTAAGGTATTTAATAGGAAGAAACAATAAATACAATTTTTCTTCTAATTTTAGCATAAAAGATAAGAAAGCCTCACATTCAATGGATGACAATATATTGCCTGAATAGGTGAATAGAGGGAGGGAAGAATGGATGGATGGGTGGAAAGATGGATAGACAGACAGACAGATGGATGATAGGTAAGTAGAGGACATGCATAGATCTTTTTCAGAAGTTCAGTATTTTGCCCAAATTATTTCTCAGTGTCCCTTTGCCCTGGGTTACCACCCTTCCTTGTTAAGAGAAGATCAGACAAGAGCCATGCATTGGAGTAATGAGGACCCCTCAGGTGTCTGGGGCAGGCATGGCTCTCTAGGCAGGAAGCTAGAGTTTAGGGGGTTGCATCCTGATTATTTGAAACTGGAGCCTCCAGGGTGACTAGATGAGGGAAGACAATGTCAAAACTCTGGAGGTGGCACAGGGAGCCTGTGGCTCAGTGGGTTAAGCCTCTGCCTTCGGCTCAGGTCATGGTCTCAGGGTTCTGGGATCGAGCCCCACATCGGGATCTCTGCTCAGCAGGGAGCCTGCTTTCCCCCCTCTCTCTGCCTGCCTCTCTGCCTTCTTGTGCTCTCCCTGTCTCTGTGTCAAATAGATAAATTAAAAAACAAAAAAAACAAAAAACCTTGGAGGTGGCAGAAGAGCTAGAGATGCGGCCAGGACATGCCAAAGTTGGTAGGTGGCTGCCGAGGGATGGGGGAAGGAGCAGCATGGGGCAAGGAGTCCCTAAGGATGTTAGGTGATGGCAAGTGTTGTCACAGGATTCTGTTCCGGGAAGGAAATAAAGATGCAGTTGTCCTTAAATCATAGCCAAAAGGAACCCCTTCCTGATTGCCTCTTTATACCCTTTGGTCAATAGGCTTCTCTTGAGTGACCCAGACTATGAGCAGGAGGTTCCACTATATGCAAGTGGGGGCTATAAGCTTGGGGCCTACAGGTGATCATTTGGGAAGGGGATATAGTCAGAACCTGAAGGTTTCCTTCTAGCTCTCAATGCTGCACTTCAACTGGACTTCTTTGGTTCCCATTCTTGCTTCCTGTTTCCTATTTCAACTGGCCGTCTGTCCATCCATCCATGCATCCATCCATGCCCCATCCATGTGTCCATGCATCCATCCATTTATTCAGACTATGCTCTGTAGTATCATCCAGGTCTTGGTGATTGATGGGCATAGCTATCTCCTCTCACTACTGACATGTCTGGGGACCAAGAACCTGTCTGGGCCACCCAAAATCGTTCTTCCTCCACATTTCAGGTTGGCTGAGCACATGAAGGCTGGACATGGCCTCTTGAATCCCATAATCCCACACCAAAATCTCCTCAGGTCTCCCCACATGTGTCTGCCAACAGCCCGTAACCTCCCTGGTTCCTGCCCCACCCTCCTCCAGCCTCAGGGTGACGTCTGGGCTTCCCGGGGACCCAACCCCACAATGCACCTCCAGCCCAGGTCTCCAGGTGAAGAAAATACTGATGGTGTCTTTCAGGCTCTTTGTCTCTGAGTGGCCCCAGCACTGTGATGGGCACCGTGGGGGGATCCCTCAGCCTACAGTGTCGGTACGAGGAGAAGTATAAGACATTTACCAAATACTGGTGCCGACAACCATGCTTACTACTTTGGAACCCAACTGTGGCCACCGGAAGGTCTGAGGAAAAGATGAGGAGTGGTCGTGTGTCCATCGTGGACCATGCTGAAGACCTCACCTTCACAGTGACCTTGGAGAACCTCACTGCAGATGATGCAGGAAAATACAGGTGTGGGATCGCAACAATACTGCAAGAAGAAGGACTCCATGGTTTCCTGCCTGACCTCTTTTTCCAGGTTCAAGTGTTTGTTTCCCCCAGGTAAGACCCTGCTTTTCTCTGCTGCCACAGAGGAAGGGATCTGAGCTAATCCCTGCAGAGCATCTGAGGAACTCTAAACTCAGGAGTACAGAACCAGGCCTGGTGTTTGTGCCTCAGAGACTGGGGACCAAGTGGGTTGTGTGGGTGTGAGTGTGAGAGAAATGTGAGTGGTGGGAGTGTGCACAAGTGTGAAAGAACATGTGTGTGCATGTGTGCATGAGAGAGTATGTGTGCAAGCCCCTGAGAATGAAGGACGGTGGGACTGTGACATCCAAGGTCCCTGCCATGAGCCCAGTCTCCTGACAAGAGCCTTGGGCCTCGGGGACTCTGAGGGTGGTGTCCACAAGGGGAGTTCTGGGCTATGCATATCTATTAGAATCCAGGCAGCTTGTATACCCTCCTGTCCTCCAGGGTTGTGTGACCTCTGCAGTCTTCTGGCAGGGTGGACAAGGCAGGGGGATGCACTGTCTGGGGGTGGGACCTGAGGTCTTGCTCTGGTGCCCACTTTCAAACACTCTTGTTTCCAGTGAGATGAGGAATGCTGTAATGCTTAATGGGGAAGGTGATGATTCTCTGGTCCTGGTTTATGATACATCCATTGCTGAGCAGGTTGGGATGATGTTGAATGGGGCTACGCCACACTCTGGCCAGGCCTGGGTCTGGCTAGTGGGAGATGATGGCCCCAGAAGCTCTGTGCACTCCTTCCCTGAGTTCCATCTGCTTTGTGAACTCTCAGACAGTTTCTGGGAGCCAGAGCCTCCTGGGTCTCCTCTTCTCCCGTTCTCTCAATTTCTCACCACCACATCCTCATGTACCTGCTTTGTCCTGATGCTCAAGGTCAGGTCTTGAGCTGAAGGACAGGAGTCTGGGCCCTCAGCAAGGGCTGTCTGGTGCTGGTACCCACCAGATTTGATGCTGATATTGACTTTTGGGGCCACAGAATCTGAGCTCAAAGGCAGGGGTGAAAGGCAGAGCCTGGGCCTCCTGTTCAGGAGGAAACTCCTGCAGTCACTGTGTCTTCTTATAGGTCCCAGGTTGTCAGCGTCTACTTCCTGCTTCTCATACTCCTGAAGGTGCCCCTGTTTCTGATGATGCTCAGTGTCATCCTCTGGGTCAACAGATCTCAATGGGCAATTTGTGGGACACAGAGTCGGCCTGATGAAGACAACATGCAGCCCTCCTTGTCCATCGATATCCTGTCCAGAGACACTGCCACTCAGACTAGAAGAGGAAGAACTTCTGGCCCCAAACCTTCTATCTCTTCTCACCTTGCTCCCCAAAACTGGTAAATTTAAGTAAATCTTGAGAAAATGCAATAAAATATGTCACACACACACAGACACAATTGTGTGTATAACGTAGATGTGCATAGTGCTTGGCTGGGAGAAGGGGGAAAGCCTTCCATAAGACCCCTAAATGCCAGCAGAGAGTGTCAAGCACAGGCTGGTTGGCCAGAGGAGCCCAAGGTGAGGGCCTGCTTTTCAATGATGCTGCCCCCCTGAGAACTCCCAGGGCAGCCTCCCACCTCAACATTCCTTCCTTCCTCCATCCACTCACCAAATATTCACCAAGACTATGTAGCTCCAGCCTATATAGACATTGACCTATGAGAAATCACCAAAAACAGTCCCAGCCTGAGCTGGGTTCTTGGGAGTGTGGATGGCAGAAGGAGGGGCAGGGCTTAGGACAAAGCAGCTGTTTGTGGAGCCAGGTCCTGCCCAGGCAAACGCTCTCTCTCTTCTCAGTATTGGACCATCTAATGTCCAAAGTCAACAGCTGAGCTGAGGGGTTGGGGGTGAGTATATATCCAGATATCCAAGTCTGGCCCAAATGTGGTTATTAGGTGTCTAGGGTCTTGGATCAGAGACATCTGGGGGCAGAAAGGAGGGACCTGGGCCTTCCTCTTGAGGCAGCAGCTCAGTGTCTGTCCCCGTGTCCCTCCCTCCCAGGTCCCTGCTTAGCAGGGTCCTCTTCCTGCTCCTGGTCATTCTGAAGGTGTCCCTGCTCCTGACCATGCTCACTGATGGACTCGGTGTGTCCTCTCTCCTTGTGGGGACCCCGACCAAGAGAAGCTTCAGCCCTTCGTGCCTTTGGATATGCTGCCCAGACACACAGCCCTTCAGAGTAGAGAAGAGAATAATTCACTACGTCTGATTTACCCATTTTTTTTGTTGATGGCTTAGGGTTGTTTCCCGCTGGGGCTATTCCACAGCCAGTGCTGCCATGAACTTTCTTGTACAGGTCACCTAGTCTATATGTGACGTGATTTCACTAGGGTACATACTTAGGGATGGAATTGCTGGGGTTTAGGGTTTGTGCACACTCAACCACACTAGATAATGCCGAGTGATTTTCCAAACCCGAAATTCATGGCCCCACTTAGCTCCCATCAGCTATGACTGAGGGCTCCTATTGCCCTGCCTCTCTGTGTGACTTCCTAGAATATCAGACATTTTAGTTTTAAGTTTTGCCAGTTTGAAATAGTTCTTTGTTGCACCATCTACAGGGTGGCCAGTTTGTGCGGCCCATGGTCCAAAGGTAGGTAAGTGTGAGCAGGCCAGTGCAGGTTTTGAGGTCAGTGAGAACAGACAACATGCACACAGGCTCAGGGTATGTAGAGTTTCCTTACAGCAGAGGGAGAGAGGGAGGGATCAGGTGGTAGGTACATCCTTCCCCCATGGCGGGTGCATCCCCTCAGCAGCCAGTGTGGCTGGTGTGGCTGCATGCATTCCACTTGTCCTGTGGTAGAATCCCGGCCCTAATGAGGTGCACCTGAGGGTCCGTGGCTCATGCATTTAAGCAGAACAGAGGAGCCCTCAAGGAGCCTGGAAAGTATTCCCACAACAGACAATAAGCTCAGCACAGTCCTTGTGGGTTGTTTATCTCTCTGTGAGGAAGTGTTCTGGCCCCAGACATATTCCATGCGGCCAAGCGGGAATCAAGGAGGAGGCTGCCTTTCCGAATCTTCTTGTGTTTTAATTTGAGTTTCTCTGGCTGCCTCATGGTGAGTACCTTTTCACTTCTATTGCATTCCCTCTTCTGTTCAATACCCATCTTTCCTGGGTTTCTCTTTTCCTTACTGAAGATTGGACTCCTACTCTGGTTGGTGAAATTTTATCAATGATGCCTTTCAAATATGTGCTTCCATAATTGGTGGCCTTTTCTTTTCTGCAAGGTAGAGGTGTGGAGAAGTGAATCTGATGTGGTATATTAGAATATAAACCACAGGGGGAGGGAGACTCCATCAGCCAGCACCAGGAAGTGATACAGCAGCAGAGCACAAAATTAGAGATTTTAGAAATCTGCTCCAGTGAGGGACATCCATGCTTTGAAGGTGCTCAGGTGATGAAGAAGAATAGAATCCTAACTGGAACAGTGTGGTTTCAGGATCCCTAGGATCATAGACGACCAGAAGTGCCTCAGGGTCACCTAGTTCCCAGGCATCAGTGGGGAAGCTGGCTGCCATCAGCAAGCCCAGGCATTGGCTCTCAGTTTGGGGTTGTCATAAACCACAAACCACAGCATGGTTAGGGGACTGCTTTCCAAGCAGGGGCCCAGCAAGTGGCAGAACCAGCGAGATCCCCCTCCCTTTCCACCCCCACCCACCCCAGGATGAGCAGCTCAGTGTGAGCTTCAGGAATCTGCAGGATTTGGAGACTCAAAACTGGGTTGTGTGTCTGAGATATAAATGCTCAGTCACAGGCTGTTTGAGCACAGAAGGCAGACACAGGCCTGGGAGACAGGAGTGATTGACTGCATTTCCCTGAGGAGGCACTGAGTAGTGGGGCCCCTAGTTCTCAGCTGGAGGACTGGAGATTGGGAGCAGGCATTTTCATTCTCAGCCTCTAATGCCCTGCAGAATTCCTTCAGGGAACAAAAGCCACACAGAGCAATCTGAAGCAGATTAATTATCATGCCCCCCTGGAAAGGATGGTGCAATTCCCCCCGGGGCAAAGACACCTGAAAATCAGTGCAACAGGCCCCCTCCCCAGAAGATCAGCAAACATTAGCTAAGACCAAGTTTACCAATCACAGAGAACTGCAAAACTCCAGAGCTTGGAAAATAATAGATGTAATTCATGAGTTTTCCCTCATGAGTCTTTAGTCTTTTAATTTTAATGTTTTTCCTCTTTCCTTTTTCAATGAATTTCTTATAGTATTAACTCCTTTTTTAAAAAATATTTTCAAATCTTATTTTTACAGTTACATTCTATCCTTTCATTGTATTTAATTTTATTTGTGTGTGTGTGTGTATATACATGTATATATATACATATGTATATATATGTGTGTATATGTATGTATAAGTATATATACATATACACACGTATATATATACACACACAAATAAAATTAAATACAAATTACAAATTAAAAAATACAAAATACGAAAATACAAAAAAACAAATTAAAAATTAAAAACTTCTCTATATATACATGTATATATACATGTATGTATATATATATGTATACATGTATACATATATATGTGTATGTATATATGTAT